AAGTGTCTCGAATATGTAGGAAAAAGTTGGTAAGTATGAATATTCATTCTCCGCTGTCCCTCAGACCATTTCCTTGGCAACCACACCTCCCTTCCAACATTTCCAATAACTTGGACTACAACGAAAAGAATTAAACATAGACCTTTGAATCTCTTTAACATTTGGACCGTTGCCATCACGATACGTATTTACACAAAGTGAAGCAATGACTTTGATTGAGATTTTTCTGTGGCTACTGTTGGCATGTTCAAAGCCATAACAATGCTCACCAATGTACTTGTAGATACGAAATCTATCCGAACACTCATATTTCCTCGCCCACAACATCCATGCACAATTTTGAGATACACATTTCACCTTTAAATATTTAGTACAACTCCTCAAAGTAGAAAAATCAAAAGACTTCTTTGCCGCCGCTTCGGCTAATAACAATTGCAACTCATTCTTGTTACTGAAAGTTTGATCTAGGCATAAATTAGTTCCATCGGAGAAGGAATGGTTGGATTGTGATCTCAATTCCTGTTCTCCCTACATTTCTTTACAACATTCGCGTTCGGGATCTTCAGCATCTACTGGATGATTTTCCACATTAGTTGGATCATCATGTATATTCATTGAATGATCAACCGAACTCTCATTTGAATGATCACCCAATCTTTCATTTCCAATAGAATCATTTTCGTCGTCAAATGAATTTATTGGTTCAGTTGGAGGCCTCGCATTAACGTGTATCCTCAATATAGGCCTAGAGACATCAATACCAATATCTAACATGTTCAAGCTAACATGCCGATCATTTTTTATAAATGTGGGATGTATTTTTCCCCTCCCATTCATTTGATAGCTAATCACCAAGTCATTTGGCTCGCAAGATAACTCACCGGCCTCAATTATGCTAGCAATCATATCGTCATATGAACCATTGCGATGCAACGCAATGGGCACTGTCGTCTTACTAAAAGATTTCCAATTCCATCTTTTGGGAGTCTCCTCACATACACCTATATAATCTCCACTAGCAACAACAAATTCAACTACTGCCATTATATACTACAAATATTGATACTAGATTACAATATCAGTTTATGAGGTACGAAATCCGTACATAAATGCGACTAGATGAGATCAGGTTACAAAATTCAGCTGTTGCAATGGCGAAACATTTTTTTAATGCATTTAAACTAAACAAATGTATCTACTAATGAGTTATCAAGTGATTATGGAAGATTTCTCAAATTTCTAAAATGGCAGGAAAATCATTTTAAAGCTTTGTTTTTAAAGAAAATGGAGTAGGAGATGATGATGATTTTACATTGAAAGTGGATATTTTGGCCAGAAAACTCACCGGAATCGTCAGTTTCTACAACAACAAAAATGAGCTGCTCTACTTTCCTGTTTGGCTTTTTTTTTTTTTTTTTTATAATATAATTTTTAACAAATGCAAATAGATACATATTATTCCAAATTAGTTGGAAAAGAAGGGGGAGGGACAAAAGTGGAGATATGGAAACTTAGTGAGGTCTTTTGTATGTGCCAATTAGGGCATGTGGATGATGTCATTAATAGTGGGTATACCACAAATTATTCAAGACTTGTGACTTAATGTCACATTAAGTCTTTAAGGTGGCTATTTTGCCAACTCTCCCAAGTCACAGGAGCTGCATCTGCACCCCTATTTTATTTCCACTGAGTGAACCAAATGTGAGCTACATCCTTAAGCTGGTAGGATGCCGACTCCACCCTATAATTACCAATTACTTGCATCACTCCAAAAAGTTTCTTAACCTCATTAATGACGTTTTGTGGGTCCTCACCAACCTGCGACCCTAAAAACTCGGGCGGATTCATCCGAACAAAATCTCAAACCCTAGCTGGAACTACTTCAATATTAGTGTTTGTAGGAACTGATGCTTGCTGAATATTCTGATTGGCCACACTCTGAGCCAAGAGCTAGACCACATTTTGAAATTCTACATTCTTAACCTCATGGTTCGGGACTGGAGGAGTTGTGTTAGAATTGCGTGCATTAGCATTCCATGTGTTACCTCTACGAGTAGGCATGATCTTAAACACATAACGATGAATGATAAAGGAGAATTTGGATCATACCCACGCACGATAAGAATATAAAGAAAGTGAAGTTTTTCCTAAAACACTTCGTAGCCTCCCTCTCATTAGATGTGGTGCACTTCACACCCATGAAAGAGACTCTACTTAGTGCGGCTTTCAAACATCCTAGGACTCTTGAACCTAATGCTCTGATACCAAGTTTGTCACTCCCCGAGGCTACCCCCTTAACGTAACATGGGACCTAGGATCACGAGTGACCCCAAGCTAACCCTGTGTCTGGCATATTATAAGCATACTGAAAGATAACTAAATAAAAAAAACTATGCAGAAGCTAAAAAATACATAATTGGAAAATAGGGAATGCCCATCTAGTTTGAATGTATAAAACATACTAAGAGTTTAATAACACTGAAAGGTCAAACTTAACAAGTCAAGCTGATTCTACTACTATGTCGGAAAAGCCTCTAATTGAGTTGAGTTGCTGGGACATACCCCGAGGTAACTCTAACAAAACTGAAACCAAAATGTAAAGAATGAAAGGAAAGCATGTCTATTGTCTTCGAAGTATGAGGACTCACCAATGAAGCTGCTGAATGCGGATCGAGGCTCAATCTAAACGCGGTCTGAATGCTGAGTACCTGAACCTACATCATGAAATGATGAAGCGCAGAGTATGCGTTAGTACTTTAAATGTATTGAGTATGCAGGATATAAATACTAAGCTCAAACATATATAAGCTGAATTAAGGCATAACTGAGAAATATTGTAAGCTGAGCAAAAATGTAAATACTGAAAAGATAACTGAAAATCTGAACTGAATGCAATGACCAAGTACTAATCATGAACATGTCATGTTGAACTGGATACTGAAGTATATACTGAAAACTTGGTCAAATGCACTAAGAGTCTTACTGGGGAAGCTACTATTAACACACATTAAACCATGTGAGCTAAACATGGAGTCCGATATATACGCCCGATCGAAAGGATCCAATATACCTTTCCAGGGGTATAAAGGCATGACCGGCGTGATCACTATAGCTGATGCCTAATAGAAGTGAATTTTATTCCTATGGGGGCACGTAGTTTTGGGACTATAAGGGTATGCTGAACCCTAGTCCAACTCGGTGCTAAGTCTACTCCCAACTGAATATGTATAAGACTGAAGACTGAAATGTGACTGAAATACTGAATAGCTCAAATACTAACATGCAAATATGAGAATGCAACATTTATATACTGATAATGTAATATTTGAAACTAGAGTATGATTATCTGTTTAACTGACCTAGCAGGTGCAATTCATGAATTAAGAGAATCTACACAATTATTTCATGCAAGGAACTGAACAAACCTTCCAAGAAACATGCTATTTTGATTATGGATACTATAACAACTGAAATCATAACAATCTTCTAAGATTTTACGAACCCTAGGTCTAAACAAGATATGGATAATCAAGGATCTGACTGAATTCTAGGGACCTAGTGGATGAAAGAAGCCCACTAGTCAAATCCTACATACCTGGTGAAAAAATCTACGGAGAAATCCTTCGATTTAAGGGCTGAAACTTGTAGAAAATTTTATATCAATTCTTGGGAAAACTAGCGCCTCTTTCTTCTCGATTTTGCTTTAAGTTTTGGTGATTTTGGGGAATAAAGGCTTTTGATAGGTTTTGAATAAATTTTCAGGCTTAAACTGAGTAAAATAACGTACTTTAAATGCCTAATGCATAGGGGATAAGACCAAAAAGACCGTGACTTAAAAGTTGACGGAGGCCAACAACGGAGCAACTAACGGATCGTCGTTGGGACCATGGCCCATCAAGTGGGTCG